TTCCTTTCCATTCACATACCCATATGCCAATTCCAATGCAATTAAAAATAATATTTTAATATACCCATAGACCACACGTTCATGTATCTCTTCCAAGAATAAAACCCATCAACCAATGTACCTCATTATTATATTTCACACATACAATCCGCTCACACTTCCTAATTCTTATACCCCAAATCATTCAAATTTGGTAACCACATAATTTAAATATTAGATGCACAAATCTTTGGTAAAACAGAAACGCGATGTAGGAAAAATATCATTTCCGAAATTAACATGCATACATATACATAAAACATATTCAGCCCAAAAATAATTAACTCCCCTTACCTTCTTCTTTTGGGTTGCTCAATACAATTCACAGTAGATGCCCTAACAGTACCCTCCACACAGAGCAGAATTTGACAGAACCTACAGATCACCAAATTGATGATAGAACATAGCTCTTAGAGCTCGAATAGACATAGAATGGAAGGAAAAACGTACAAGGCACGTGAACCCAACAAAGTTGCATGCCCTAGGTTCTAGAACAGTGAAAGAGAAGGGGAAAAGGGAACTTACCGGTCGGAACAGGAAATTGTTCGGTTCAAAATGAAGCTCTTGCCACCGCGATCGTTTAGGCACCTTCAAATTAAAATTTAAACGGTTCAGTGTTTGGATCTTTTAGAGAAAAGGCAAAGCAATTATTTAGGAAAAAGAGTTTCTGTTTAGAGAGAAAGGGAAAGAGCTCAGGAAAGTGAAAAAGAACTCTGAGGAGCCCTTGCTAAGGTTAAGCTGGCCTTAGGCTGATGGGCTTGGCTGCCCCACATAAGGCCCAGTGGCCCCTTATTCATTTACAGGCCCTTACGTTCTCCCCAACAATTTGAAATTTTTGTCCCCGAAAATTAGACTTACCAGAGAATAGGTGGGGATAGGATTCCTTCATCTTGTTCTCTAGCTCCCAGATAGAGTCGCCTGTTCTAGCATCCCAAACTACCTTGACGAGTTTGACAGTCTTCCCCCTGGGTTGTTTGGTTTGGCTTTCCTCAACTCTAACTAGCTGCACCTCCACAGACAAGTCTTCCCTAACTTGAACATCTTCAGCCTCCAATACGTGTGAAGGGTCCGACACATACTTTCTGAGTTGAGAAACGTGAAATACTAGATGGAGATTTTCAAGTTGAGGCGGCATGGCTATCTCATAGGCGACCGATCCTATAAGCCTCAGAATCTAATAAGGACCAAGGTACTTAGGAGATAATTTCCTAGCACGAATGGCTCTTCCTACACTAGTAGTAGGAGTCACTCGGAGGAACACATGATCCCCAACTGCGAACTCTAACGGTTTCCGCCTCTGATCAGCATATGATTTCTGTCGGCTCTAAGACGCCTTCATTCTTTCTTGAATCAACTTCGCTTTATCTGTAGTTTGCTGTACAAGTTCTGGCCCGATTAGCACTTCCTCTCCATCCTGGAACCAATAAAGGGGTGTTCTACAGCGCCTCCCATACAAAGCTTCAAATGGAGCCATACCACCACGATCGTTTAGGCACCTTCAAATTAAAATTTAAACGGTTCAGTGTTTGGATCTTTTAGAGAGAAGGCAGAACAATTATTTAGGAAAAATGGTTTATGTTTAGAGAGAGAAAGGGAAAGAGCTCAGGAAAGTGAAAAAGAACTCTGAGGAACCCTTCCTAAGTTTAAGTTGGCCTTGGCTGCCCCACATAAGGTCCAGTAGCCCCTTATTCATTTACAGCCCTTACAACATACATAATTAAAATTGTAAAAATTAATATAATTGGTAACCATATATATAAAATTCGAGAAAAAAATCCTTTTTCCTATGCCCCTCCGGTTTTTGTGAGCATTCTCAACACATTTTCAAATAGTAATTTGGAAATTAGTTTGGAATAATATGGTATGGGAAAGAGTAAAAACATAGTGTGAACAAGGAGAAAAGTCAACGGAGGGAGGGGCACCTTTTAATTAAAAAAGCAAGGCAATAATCAGAGGAAGAAGGGAGAACAGTTTTTTCATTATCACAATTTGAAGGATGGAAAATGAAGGCTGGAGTAGGTGTTCTTGCTCTGCACGTAGTCTGATATCAATATTGTCTACAATTATTCTCCTACTCCAACCAGATAACTGCCTCGCTAAGCGACACCCACCATGTCCTACTTCATCATGCGGTCAAATTCGTAACATAAGTTATCCATTTCGGCTGAAAGGCGACCCAGGTCGGTGCGGCGACCCAAGGTATGAGTTAGATTGCGTTAACAACGCCACTCTCTTATTAACCTTTTCATCGGCAAAATACCATGTACGAGAGATCGACTACAACGGATACAAAATCGTTCTTAGGGACCCAGGTCAGGACGAGGACGCTAATTGCTCTTTAATCCCTCGCAATTTCATAGCGGCTCCTAGTTACCCGTTCTCGGTTGGCCCAGATAATTTCGGATCGGAGCCGTTCACTTGGGAACACTGGTCTACTATCGGAATAGGGTACTTCAACTGCTTGAATCCTGTGAGTGACGATCCACGATATGTTAAGGTGGACAGGGGTGGATGTGGCAGCAGAGGGCACGTGTACGCGGTATTAGGATCTTCGTATGATCCTAATAGTGGCTACGTTAGTGTTGTTGGTGTGGAGGACATCAAGGTTGGATGCGATCTGATAGTGGCTACGGTTTGGACACCGAAGCAGAATGTTACCTACCACAAGCATGATGAGTCTGACGGCTGGAAGGTTGAAGGGCTTGAAAGAATATCGGAGGGGAATGTTACATATGATGATATCGATCGCAAAATAAGTGAGGGATTTTGGTTGTCGTGGTTGCCGATTGTTTGCGAGGATAAATGTGGAAGGGGGACAGAGTGTCTGCTCATCAATGAATCCAGCGGAGAAGTCTTTTGTAAGAACCATTACTGTCATTACGCTTACCACACCACCCAAAAGTGCGGTAATATTATCCACTTTCTCTTTCTTTTTATTATTCCTTATTATTGATTTTACCATTATTTTATGATTATTTAGGTTTAACAGACATATTACATTTTATACTATTTTAGGAATCAAATATATATTATTTTACTAATTTTTAATTTTTAAGTTATAAATTTAAGAACATGCATTTTCATTTTTTTTAAATTATAATATAAAATAAGGTTAAATATGTTTTTACTAATTCACTTTTTTTTATCATTTCAATATATTCACTTCTTTTTTTAATTCCATATTGGATGGTGTTGGGTGTTACAGTGGGTGGAGGGGGAGGTGGTCATAAGGCTATGAACTAGTGGTATAATAAAAAGAGTTTATACACAGAAGAAACTGTGAGAAGTAACATATGCAAAGTTACCAAGGTAATAATAACAATCATGGTTGTTATAGTAATTAATGTTAATATTGTGGTAGATGTGAGGGAAATGAAATGACCGTCGCCGGCCATATGAGTTAAGAACAACAATTATAGTTAAAACAATAATACTTTTACAATTCTCTATTTTTGTTCTGCTATGGTGATTAAAGGTTGTCTTATCGTTAAAACAAAATTCATGTGCGTTATTAAATATTATCATGTGAATTTTCTTACAATTGTCATTTTTACTTATACAAACAAGCTATTAATTGTTTCTCTAAGTAAGTTTTGATCATTAAGTTTCTAAATTTCATATTAAAATTTATTCTTTTCTTCTGTTTCAGAACCTTGGCAAAAGGTTTTGGGCTATATTCGAGGTAAGTAATTATTTATGTCTTTATTTTTAAATATCTTACAAATTAGATTATTTTTAGATGAGTTTATATTAAAAAGTTTAGTTCTATTGATTAACGCGTTTTTTTTTCTAAAAACGAATTGACTAACGAACAAACCAAGAATAACTAAAGAAAAAAAAAATATGTTGATTGATGAGTTGAAGATAGAAAAAAAATCACGTAATAATCACGTAACTAACGAATTATAGTTCTTTTATTTATCTTTCTCAAGTCTAATACTGAGCTCTTTCGTTTTTTAAAGTTCTTTTTATATAAGTGTGGCATTTTTTGGATTGACACGATATTTATTCTCTTATATTTTTTATTTGCAGCTTATCTTAGAGGCATTATTTATGGTAAGATCCTTCTCCGTGATTCCTAAAATTTGAATCACATCATATAACAAGTTTCATTAGTTTATACTCTTGATTATGAATGATACCGGAGCATGTTGTTAGTTCTTACTCATAGGGCGATATATTTGTAGGAATAGGTAGCAGAATAACATTCAGTACGAAACAATTGGACAGGCCTGTTGGACTGCAATATTTTGATGGAGGAATATTCATAGGACGACAAATTATATCAATATTTTTGGCAGGCAGATATCTGTTTGGAGTTGTACTTATTCTTGTGTTATTCATCTATAAATGGCGACGAAGACATTCTTCAATATATGGAAATATTGAAAATTTCTTGCTAGATAGTCATCTAAATCCCATCAGATACGAATACAATGAAATAAAAAAAATGACTAAAAGTTTCAAAGTGAAATTGGGTCAAGGAGGCTTTGGTGCTGTGTATAAAGGAAAACTCCGAAGTGGATTAGATGTAGCTGTAAAGATGTTGAGCAAATCCAATGATGATGGACAAGATTTCATAAATGAAGTAGCTACCATCGGAACAATACATCATGTAAATGTGGTGCGGCTTATTGGATATTGTGTTCATAGAAAAAAACGTGCTCTGGTTTATGAATTTATGTCAAATGGATCATTGGATAAGTACATTTTCTCCAAAGAAGAAAGCACCCATTTAAGCTACAAAAAACTATATGAAATATCTTTTGGAATAGCTCGTGGGATTGCATATTTGCATCAAGGTTGTGATATGCAAATTCTGCATTTTGATATCAAGCCTCATAATATTCTTTTAGATGACAACTTTGTTCCAAAGGTTTCAGATTTTGGACTTGCAAAACTACATGCTACAATTGATGGTGTTGTGAATATGACTCTACCAAGAGGAACATTGGGTTATATGGCTCCAGAGTTATATTACAATAATATGGGTGGAGTAACCTATAAAGCTGATGTGTACAGTTTTGGAATGCTTTTGATGGAAATGACAAGTAAGAGAAGGAACTCAAATCCTAATGCCGAGCATTCAAGTCAAAATTATTTTCCTTTTTGGATTTATGACCAATTTAAAACAGAGAAAAACATTGACATGAAAGATGCTTCATCAGAAGAAGAGAAGATTCTAGTTAAAAGGATGTTCTTAATTGCACTTTGGTGTATTCAATTAAATCCAAGTGATCGTCCTTCAATGAACAAGGTAATAGAAATGCTTGAAGGGGTGATTGAAAGGCTTGAATTGCCTCCAAGGCCTTCCTTTTACAATACTGAAGCATACGAACATGATGATATTGGCTCTAATGTCACTGAGTACACTTACTCTACTAGTCAGCATGATGAAAGCATAACATCGGATTCACCGAAGAATATTGAAATAGGCATAAATAGCATAACTTAATTTCAGTGTAATGTTGATGGGAGTAATGAATTAATGTTATAGGTTGGTCCTTGTATAAATTTATTTGGTAGTGTAGACAACTATAGTTTTTCATGTGTAATAAGACAATTATAGTTTTTCTTATTATAAAAGTAGTAAGGTCTTTTTTTTAAGCCATATCAAAATCATTTCCTTTACTTTTATTCTATTTTAGTGCTTGACAAAAAAAAATAACATAGCAAAAATACTTCATTCTTTAAGGTTTTCTTAATAATTGTGTTTTTCTTTTTTCAGGGAGAGGGTATTATTGATGTTTTCTTAAATATAAAAGAAAATGGTATTGTAATTTTATTTCCTAACAAAATTGCATCATTTCTTATTGTTAGTTTTGCTTATCTTTTCATTTTTATTGCAGTTGCGACTTCTTTTCTTATTATTACGAAAGTGGTTTTAGAACTTGATTTTCTTACTAGTTGTAGTCATTAATGCTGGAATAATGTTGTGAAAAAAATCCTATATGCTCTATGACGTGAATGTAACTAATTCATTATAGTAAAAAACACCGTATAATATCGGTGATTTTGGGTTTTTAACTGCGAATTATATAGGTCGACGTTAATTGTTTATTTAAGACGTCGACCATGTAGAATTGACGTCTAATATGTGACCTAATCCACAATGCTTAGTTGGATGTAAAGGATGATTTGACATCCACTAAAAGGGGGTGAGACGTGAAAGTGACGTCGGCCATGAGGCATATTCGAAGTCAAGCTCGCTGAGCCGCAGGGGAGCTCGCCCAGCGGTGCATTTCTTTGGTTGGCCACTAGAAAGGGTTAATGTTGTGTAGTGTACAGGCCGATGTCAATACACCTATATTAACGTCGTGCAGTGTACAGGTCGACATCAAATTCAGGGTTATTTTTTTTAATTGGTTTGTTTTTTCTGATTTAACCAAACCTGAAATACATAAACCAGTTTTCCAATACATATATATCAAAATTCATCAATTCAAAGTTTAAACCATATAAAAAGTAAAGCTAAAAGTTAAAGCTAATGCTATCATCAAAACAAAAAGAACTTAAAGGAAAAACTTAAAACTATAGCTAATGAAAATATTGATTCAAATATCTTGCCCATTCTTGTTTAAGCTTCCCTATTGTGGCATCTATGAATAAAGAGGACTTGTTGAACGCTGCAAAATCAAGAAAATTTTATTATTATATTCATTCTAATGTGAAAAGTTGATTGAGATTTGTAAGATTTCAAATATAAATTTTTACCTCAGTCTAATTTGCTTTGATTCCTGCTCTGATTATTGTCTTCGTCCATGACATGATGTAGTAGCCACATGCCCAGGAATCTGTCTACTTATTACACTAAACATGTGAAAGAACATAGTCAAATGCAATGGTTTAAATTTGACTATGAAAATTAATAAGTTAAAGATCAACGAATTCCAACTTTAGGATATATAATTTCAATCTGTTGTGCTCTGGGTCTACCATCGTTAGAGTCATCTGACAACCATCTGTCATCATCTACCATGAGACATAGGTTGGCATTTTGTTTTTTTTTTATCAAATTCTGAGAAGTCTAGATCGTCCTAGGTACTTATTAGCACAATTTTCTTTCCTTGTTTAGAAATGCCAAGTTTTCTCTTTATCTTCTTAAAATCAGGACACTTAGATTTGAAGTGGCTTGGTTTCTTACATTCATAGCATATGATGAGACTTTCTTTTCATTGATCATTTATGGAAATTGATCCAAGACATTTGCCTTTCTTTCTTTTCCACATTGATACGATCTTCTTGGAGATGAAAAATAATTCATCTTCTTCTCCTTCTTTCATGGAGTCTTCTTCACTAGTTGACTCTTCTAAAGGTTCTTCTACTTTTGTGGGAATCCTTCTGACAGATTTTTGAGCCTTTAATACTATGTTCTTTTCTTTCTTTATGATTCCATCTTGTTAAAGCTCCTGCTCATGTACTTTTAGGATTCCAATAAGAATTTCTAAGCTCATCCCACCAAGATTCTTTAAGGTTCTTAGAGTAGTCACTTGAGGTCTACAGTTCCTGGGAAGACTGTGAAGAATTTTGTGAATATTATAAAAATTATCATAAGTCTTACCAACAATCTTAACTTATTTAAGATAATTTGAAATCAGTTGAACATGGCTTGGATGTTTTCATTGTCTAGCATGGTGAATAACTCGTACTCACGTCTTAGCATGGTTAGCGTTGAACAACAAACCAAGAGGGGGGGTGAATTGGTTCATAATAAAAACGTTTGCCTTTAAAATTTCTACTCAATTAAACTTAATTAGCAATTAATAATAACAAGTAAATAGAGTAAGGTTGAGAGAAATTTGCACAGATTTAATCCTGGTTCGGATCTTACCAATCTTACGTCCAGTCGCTTATCACAAAATAAGATAAACAATTCACTAATCACAAAACAATTACAAACTACAATCACAAAGATAAAATTTGTAAAAGTTTAGAAAACACCTCTCTTGATGCCACAAGAGATGAACCTATACCTCCTTTGAATCTTCACAAAGGATGAAACACTTCCTCTGAATACTTCACGAAGGATGACTTTCTCTTCCGAACACTTCCTTAGACACACCAAGGATGAACCAACTATTCCTCTGTCACCGTAGCAGCACTTCACCAGCTCCACAGACAAGAGTTTCCTTAGCCGAACAATAGCTCACAATTGTCAAGAGTTTCTGAGTTGTAGAGCACAAGGGAAGAGTTCATTACAAAATGAAGCCTTCCATTCTACTTATAGGCTTCCATTCACTAAAAGACAAACTTAATGGCTAGTTTCTCCAACGGCTATAAACGGCCATAAATGGCTAGTTAGTCCAACGGCCATAAACGGCTAGTTTTTCCAACGACTAATTTCTTCAACGTCTGCTTTGAGCACGATATCCTTGTTGTTGAGCGTCACTATTCACGTGAATAGTGTTACTATTCATGTGGACAGTGCTATAATGTTTCGCTACAGTGATTTTGCAAAACACATTTTCCACTTTGAAGTTAAGTCATATACATGAAATCTAGACTTATTACAAAAGCTTTATAATACAATACAAGTCTTCAAATAACTCTTCTTGGTTCTTGATTATTCTTGACTTGATTTTGGCATCATCAAAAGTTCATCTTCATCATTTTGCTAACACAATTGATTCCTCAAGTTTTATTAGGAACTCACTCTTGAGGCAAAGTCTGGTGGCAACAACCAAAACTATTTACACAGTGGAATTCTTCAATTATAAAAGGAGACGAGGAACGCGTCGAGCAACATTTTTCTTTTGCGATCTGAGCGTGTTAGAGAGATGTGGGAGAGAGAGAGAGAGTTCCTTTCTCTGAGTGAGTGAGATCTGAGTGCCTCTGAGTGTGTGAGATATTGTGAGCTTCCTCCTTCTAGTGCTCCTACGAGATTCTGGGTAAGCCTATGCTTCTATGTTCGTAAGCTTCTCCTCCCTTCCTGTAAGTTTTCCTTTTTTCGATCTCTTCCTTTTCTTTGTTCGTTCTTTCATGCTTTCTTGCTTATGTTCTCTTCTGCTTGACATTCTTTACTCGTTCTTTCCTTTACTTTGTTCTTTACTTCTCTCGCTCTATTTCCTTTATTTTGCTCACTCTTTCCTTACTCTTTACTCTTTTTATGTTATTTTTTTTTCTTCAATTTTTTTCTTCGCTCTTATCTTTACTTTGCTCCTCTTTTATCCGCTTCTATTTTCACCTTCTACATTTTTCTTTTATTTCAACTTAAAATACACTGTCATAAAAACACGGGGTACCCCTCTAAACAAAGTAAAAAGAAACTTTTATTTTGGTATGAACACGATATGGACATGGACAATTGGACATAGATCTAGTTAGGATCCGCTGTGAGGACCATGAACCCGATGTACTCCTAAACATAAGGACAAGACTAACTGGATAGAGGACAAAATTAACTCAATAATTAAAGAAAAGAAAGAAAAAAAAATGAACACTTAACTTGAACACCATAACATTTTTTTTTGCTTTTTTTAAATTATATTTTCCAATTATTTTCTTGTTTTTTTTATTTGTTTTTATATTAGACGAGAATGAACAACAACAAAATTGAGAAATCAAAGATCGAGGATAAGTCAGTGTGTCAACGATGGCGGCCAACAGAGGACCAGGTTAAGATCATGACGAATATCTTCAACAATGGAGTCACACACCCTAGTTGGGCTCAAATTTGTGAGACTACCACACGACTCAGGGCTTATGGAGAAGTTGGGGAGTACAACGTTTATTGTTGGTTTCAAAACCACGAGAACCGAGTGAGGCATCTACACTTAGAGCTGGACCCTACTAGCACAACATACTCCCTCCTACAAAAGTTCATGTATAGTAAGCTTATTTTGACCTTATTTCCCTTTTTATTACTTTTTCCCTTTTTCCTTTTTTATCTTTTTATTTTTTATGTTATTTTTTTTTATTTTTTACCCTTTTTTTCTCAGATATTTCTCTTGGGTAATCATGAAAGCTCCAAGGCTCCTAAANCCACTAGAAAGGGTTAATGTTGTGTAGTGTACAGGCCGATGTCAATACACCTATATTAACGTCGTGCAGTGTACAGGTCGACATCAAATTCAGGGTTATTTTTTTTAATTGGTTTGTTTTTTCTGATTTAACCAAACCTGAAATACATAAACCAGTTTTCCAATACATATATATCAAAATTCATCAATTCAAAGTTTAAACCATATAAAAAGTAAAGCTAAAAGTTAAAGCTAATGCTATCATCAAAACAAAAAGAACTTAAAGGAAAAACTTAAAACTATAGCTAATGAAAATATTGATTCAAATATCTTGCCCATTCTTGTTTAAGCTTCCCTATTGTGGCATCTATGAATAAAGAGGACTTGTTGAACGCTGCAAAATCAAGAAAATTTTATTATTATATTCATTCTAATGTGAAAAGTTGATTGAGATTTGTAAGATTTCAAATATAAATTTTTACCTCAGTCTAATTTGCTTTGATTCCTGCTCTGATTATTGTCTTCGTCCATGACATGATGTAGTAGCCACATGCCCAGGAATCTGTCTACTTATTACACTAAACATGTGAAAGAACATAGTCAAATGCAATGGTTTAAATTTGACTATGAAAATTAATAAGTTAAA